CGCCTTTTCCAATGCCATCCCCAATTCCAAATATGAATGGGTGTCCATGATTTGGTTTTTCTTGTCCGAACCAAGATAGACAGTGAGGCAATAACAGGAATAACAACAACAATACAAATGAAAGGGGACAATTATCGATTCAGGCACCGGCAGACGCAGAAGGTAGTGGCCAATCTAGGATACTAAGAACATCCAACAATTCTGGACAATCTTACAATTCAAATAACTCCAGACAATCGAACAATTCACGACAGTCATATAGTTCAAACAACACCTCATTTATGGCGTCAGGTAGTGGACAACTCCACAGTATCCAAAGGGATGATGCAAACTTTCCATAATCAGTCTCAAACAACCCACAGGATATTTAGGGACTAAAGAGAGCCAGTCCGCCTTGCCGTATTTAATAATCAGACTTACACCGGAGACAATAAAAACATTATTTTATACATGATCCACATTTTCTTTTATTCGCATTTTTGACAATGGTCACGGATTTTTCTCAAATTTTTTGAAGGTCTTTTAAGAATATATATGCTTGAAAAACTAGGAGCATTTCGGAAAGCCGAAGTATAAGTATAAAAACTAATGGACCAGAAGATTATCAGGCATAGCCACTCACTGTGAAGTGCTCCGGTGTGGCTGGTGCCTAAAAAGAAGGATGCCTTGGGTGAAAGGCAATTAAGGATGGCAGTAGACTACAGGAATGCTTATCATTATTTGGCAATATAGCATTTTAAGTCATTATGTGTTCGGAACCAAATTTAAAATAGTCACAGATCATAGGTCATTAATCTGGCTAACGAGTTTTATAGAACCGGATTCTAAACATAAGATGTAAATTACAAATGTTAGAATATGACTACGAGATAGAGTATAAAAAAGTATCTTTAAGTGTAGTGGCTGACGCCTTGAGCAGAATACAACCGGAGCTCAATGTACTAGAGAATGCTTCTAAAGTAGCAGGAAACGGAGAAACAATCCACTCCGTGGGGGAAGATCTACAATTGGGATCCCCAATATCCGATAAACTATTGAACGATTACAAGATCCAAGAGCCAAGTGGTTATAGACAAATGGAAAACAGCCGGGATAGTTAAGCAAATTCCATTTAGAAATAAAATAAGAATAACTTGAACGGAAGACAACTTCAATGAGTTTGTCGAAGACTTAAATAAGTTCAAAAGCCAAGCCGAACAATGGCATTATTTATAGCGGAGGACTTAGTAATAACCATACAAGACATAAACTGCAAATATTTCGCATACACCATTTATACATGGCAATAAGATTGTACATCTTACTGCCAGATATATCAGAGAAAGATCAACGAGAAGAGAAAAGATCACCTGAAAAGAAAGTTGTATTTTCATCGCATGAAACAGACGATAATAATTGCGATTGTTGTCAAATGCAAAAGTGATAGGATACCACAGAAAATTATATAAAGCGTGACAGAGTCACCAATGGCATTAATGAATATAGACTTAAATTTTGTCCGCAAGAAATATACGCCTGGGGATATACTATTTCAGCCAGGGATAGTATTAATGTAGTCAAAGCAATAAAAACTTTATGGCACTATTTGGGAATCCGGGGAAGATAGTCTGCGACTAGTCTGCGAATTGTCTTCAAACTTATTAGAAGTAGAACATAGAAAAATGAGGAGAATAGATGCAGCCAATTCAGATAGACAAGATCCCAAACAAGTAGAGGGTAACGACCTAACAGTAATAACAAAAAAAACTAAAAAAGTCTGCATGGCGACGGTAAAGAAATTCGAAATCTGGGTGAAAGAGGGTGACGAGACTCTGCAAACATCGAATTAGGTTCAACGAGAATAATACAAACACACAACACATTTATACACATATGTAGTAAAGCCTAGTATCCAGATCGACGAAAAGCGTACGCCATGAGAGAGAGCGAGAGGCAAAAAGCTGGCGTTCGCTTTTCGTCGGGCCTTTTTTCACGTCGGTCCACAGATCGACGAAAAAAATACCAGAAAATTCCATAGCGTTGCCAGTCTGCGGAAATGAACTTTTTGGCGTGCGCTTCTCACTGAACATTATAAGAAATGGAGGGAAAAACTCAAAAACTCACAAAAGTCGATTGCAGGTGTTTACATGTAAGGACAAAATAACATTAATACTATCTGGGGTGCCTCTTGTCAGAGCAAAATGTTTTTTAGGTCCAGAATGTACGAAAAAAACACAATAAAAGTGCAGCTATGAACTTTAAATAAGCAAATAATATTATCAGTAAATAAAAAAAAACAACTGTTGAATTTAAATTGTATTGTTTTTTAATTTCTTTGTACAGCGGCAGACTTGTCTTGCCAAGGTATTTGATAATATCTTTTAAAGGCTCTTTCCCGCAAATACGATATTTGAATTTTAACTGCTTGTCAACAAACCCAGCTGATTGACAGCACGACCGTAGCACGCTTAAATCTGATGAGCTCTCAAAATTTTGGTCACACTGGAAAGATTAAAGTTTTTACGCTAGCGTAATCGTTAGTCGATCTGGATACTAGGCTTAAGGCTAAAGGAATATCAAGAAGCGATAGAGCAGATGGAACAGACACTTAGAAGCATACTGGAAGATGCAGAAACAGAGGATTTAGTTAATGCATTACAGAAGAAATTGCAGATGATAAAAACTAGGTTAAAAGATATAAGCCCCAGAGCAAGAACGGCAAGAGGATTGATCAAGGGGTTAGGATGAGTCATCAAATCGATAACAGGAAATTTAGATGAGGAAGATGCAAAGAAGTTAGAAGAAGAGATAAGGAAAATGCAAGAAGAGGAGATAAGAATAAAAGAAGCAATAAATGGGCAAGAAAAGACACACAGCAAATTAATTATTATGTTAAAGAATTTAACGACATACATAATTGAGGAACAGATCAATACATTTATCAATAATTATAATAATGGGCTTAGTAAAACCTTTGTGGAAGAAGATAAAAGAATCTATAGATTGGAATATATCGACAGAGAGCTTACTATTGTTCAAAATGGGCCTAATTTATATTCGATAAGAAGGAAACAAGTAAATGTGTTCAAGAATTAGAAGAACAAAAGATTTAGGTATCATCTGAAGAACACATGTACGAATTTCTAGATTTAAGAGCGATTATGAATAAGACAGACATAACATTTTCAGTAAGATTACCAATTTTCAAAGAGGATATATTCGTTACACAGAGAAGTTTCACTCCCCATAAATAAAACAGAATTTATTATCACACCCAACCATGTTGCAATTAATAACTAAGAAATATATTACTATAAAAATAAATGTCAGAAAATAAGAAACCTTGAGGCAGTGGAAAGACTGGAAACTGCAAAACTGAAACTCGAAATACGCCTAATCGAAGCGATAAAAAAAGAACAGAACTACCCAAGAATTGAGAATACATCAATTAAGAATGGAAGATGTAAAAAACGAGTCTGGAGATCAACAATACAAAGTTCACCGTGTTGTTGCTAGCGGTTATAGCAGTGACTTGGTTTTTAAAGAGAACAACTACATTCAAGTTATATTAAATGTTGGTGGCCCGGTGGCGGTGCTGTTCCTGAACGCGCCGATGATGACGTGGCACCGGTAGGGTGCTTGCTGGGTGGAATGGCAGCCGCTGGATGGCTGCTGTTCAACTGGATAGTTGAGAATTCACGGCTGGGCAACAATGCTGCTTATAGATGGCCGCTGATGATGTGGCACCGATAGTTTACTTGCCGGGTGGTATGGCAGCCGTTGGATGACTGCTGTCCAAGTGGTTAGTTCAGAATTGGAGGCTGGGCAACAATGCTGCTCCTAGATGGTCGCTGATGATGTGGCACCGGTAGGGTGCTTGCTGATGTGTCAGTTGAAGTTTATGGTGAGAGGTGACTGCCCCCTATGCAAATAAGATAACGGCGATGGCCGGAGTAATGTTTACGAGCCAAGTGCACGAAAAACGCAGGCAGGCCGACTTCGCGTCAGTGGAAAATGCTGACGATTGCAAAATGACCATAACTCACCATACCGGGAACCAATGGGACCCAAGCACAGCCTCCAAACACGGATATGCTGAGTTGGCATCTAGAAACTCTAGGGTGATCCAAGAATCATCCAAGATTTCTGTTTGTTACCCTTCAGTAATGTTAACTTACACACCGACTACTCCACCTACTACCTTCACACCACACAGGCTACTTACACACCAACCATTGTTCCACTATGCTCGGTAGTTCAATTTGAGCGAGGAGCAGTTCCCGCCTCAGCAGATACCCTCGGCGGTCCCCCGCCAAAACCCCTACGACTGGCATAAGACAGGAATACCGATTCAGCGAATACTTGTGTCAACCTAACGACTGACTTGGCACATAAGAAGCCACCGCCGATACCAAAATATGCAACGCATAAACACTCGCATCCGCTCCACTTCCAAATTCGCCACATCGGCACTTTCGTACCAACTTAGTAGAAAAAAATTAAAGATCCATTCTGAATAACGAAACCAAACCAAACGGACGTGTTACGTTTATTCCAAATATTTCGCGAACTTACATAGCTATCAACACACTTCCGAGCCTAAATATTATAACGCGCGCTTTGCAGGGGGCGCAGAGCTGCCTGAGCGTTAACTTCGGCTGCAGTGGCTTCCATGTCATCAGGGTCTGTGGCTTCCTATCACTTCTGCATTTGACAACAATCGCAATTATTAATCGTCTGAGTTATTGCTTGTTTCATGTGAGGAAAATACACTTTTCTTCTATAACCCTGTGGTTATTTTTCTGATTAGCCACTGCTGTTCAGATCAGCTGTTATCGGTTGGTGGATGGTAGATGTGCTCTGTGGAAGTCGAAGTTTCACATTTGTCAAAATTCCCAACCGCTTCAAACGGATAAACTCTATGGGAAAAGGGTATAATATTTGGAAAAAGTAATATTTTGAAAAAACTTAGTGTTCTATTTTTCACTGTTTCATTTTTGTCGCTTCCCGACTGTCGCTATTTTGACGGACACCAATTTGTATATGCATTATTGATGTTTTAAAATAAAAAGTCACTTTTCTTTGTACATTAGCGAAAGTTAAATTAAAATATATGAACACGATGGATGAGCTTTTAAATGAAGTGGTACCACAAGAGGACTTAGAGGTATTGATTGAGTTTTGATCTTGATCAATATAAAATAAATAAGTGCATTTGTTCTCTTCAATATGGCAGAGGTTTGAAAAAAAATATAATCACGAGCTTGAGTTGGACGGGGAAGTTACCACAGAGACAAAGTTTGAGTATGTAACATTTTAGATAAAAAATTACCGTGTCAAACTTTTTTTATTATAACATGGCAGGTACTCTTTCTGTCTGGTTCGTAGTCGCTATACAAACGACATTAGAAAGGTGACTTAATCACCTTTAATGACGCCTTAGAAATGTACAAAATGTCCTATTTTCTTAACAACAGGGAATAATGATATTGGAGGAGTTGGCACGTACGCATCCAGACGGAAGACGTGATTATATTTATTATCTTGCATTTGGGAATGCTCGTATAAAGGAGTATACTTCAGGCCTTAAATACTGCAGAGCTTTCCTGGACATTGAATCTAATGATCAAGTGCGCTCTCTTGAGGTGAGTAGATACGTATGTATGTAAACTTGAAATTCAAACTCATATAGCTGGCAAACTATACGGAATATGAAAAAGATTTAAATGCAGTTATGTTTGGCAGTATTTTGGCATTTATTAAGGCACTTTATTATTTTTAAACTGCACTAGATAACACTTAAAACTAAGAACAACTAAAAATACTGCCTTTTTTTAATGTCACAGATTATTTCGTGCAATGAACTTCATGTTAAATATATTGACTATTAAATAACTTAATACTTTGTGTGGCCTCCCTTCGGTTTGATGACATCCTTTAATCGAGTTTTCATCGAAAAAACCAACCTGTGGTCTCCTTTGGAATCTTGGCCCATTCTTCCAAGAGGGCCTTTTTAAGCTAATTATCTTCTTAGATTTTGACCTTTTGCGGATGGCCAGATCCAAAGTTGCCTACAAATTTTCAATGACGTTAAGGTCTGGTGACTGGGCAGGTGAATTCACTTCGTGAGGGGAGTTCCAGACAAGCCAAGTCTTCACAATTGCTGCTGAATGTTTAGGATATTGGTAATACCAATATCGTTCCAAAATGCCAAAATACTACTAAACATAACTAAATCTAAATCTTTTTCATATTCCGTATAGTTTGCCAGCTATATGATTTTGAATTTAAAGTTTACGTCCGCACGCAATAAGCTGTAAGCCACTGTATGTAAATGTATTCCGAAAAATTGTTAATACTAAAAGTCTGAATTTCAGGAATATATTAAGAAACAAAGTGACAAGGAAGTGGCAAAGGGTATGGCTGTCGCTGGAGGAGCAGCCCTCGTACTGGGTGGAATATTGGGACTAGGCATTGCTATGGCAAAGAAGTAATATTAAAAACAATATATCATATATTTAAAAAAATAAAATAATGATAACGAAGTAGTAGTATTATGATCCAATCCGATTGAAATTAAATTTTCAATATTTGAAATATTAATAAAATGTGTCTTTTGCATTTTATAGTAAACAAAAACGAGAGAAAAAGTGAAATCTTTACATTTTCCGGAATCAGTAACTCTCTGGACGCCTCTGCGATCTTGGTGCTGACATTTTTTAATAAAATTTTATTTCCTACAGATTCTTAATCATTTTTATATAAAGTTAAGCTTTGTTTAACCAATAAATGATCCAACTGTATGCTAAGGATTAATGCGCGTTGGGTGACTCAGGAAGATAATTTTTGGCGGTCTATTTGTGTTTTTATCTATAATCTAATGGAAATTATGTCTCTGTTGAGTAAAATTGAATTGCTAGTCCTTTTACTTCTCCCTTCGGTCAAAATTTATGCTTTTTTGTGTTGCTAATATTTTTTTCCCTAAAATTAGTATACGTACTAAAGTGCTGGCACTCTTGCAATTTTTGACTTTTAATGTTATTATTTAACCACCAGAACCACCGAACCGCGTAGACGTGTCTTTTTGCTCGCTCTGCCGAAAGACTTTCAAAAATCTACAAAGTGACCACCAAAAATAAGAAAAATAGCGAAAAGACGCTGACAGCAATGCCATATCCCAGGCACACTTGCAATTTTTGACTTTTAATGTTATTATTTAACCACCAGAACCACCGAACCGCGTAGACGTGTCTTTTTGCTCGCCCTGCCGAAAGACTTTCAAAAATCTACAAAGTGACCACCAAAAATAAGAAAAAAAGAGAAACGACGCTGACAGTAATGCCATATCCCAAGGTCAACATCTCCTTGCGATTAAAACTAAGTTTACAACCGATCTAGCTAATCAAAAACAATTAAAAATGTCGAACGCAAATAAAATATTAACAAGTGCCACGAAGCCAAATAGCGATCGCCAACAAATACAACTAGACGAACGACGGCTGTCTTCTGCACGGAACAATGCTTACATTTTAATTGACTCATCGGAGGCAACAACAAAATCAACGTCACTGACCGCTACCGAAAGAGCCCGCTCACTGTCACCAGCGATTTTATGCTCAAGCAGCGCTGCCGTTACTCAGTCGTGGAGTTCACAATGCCCGTCACCTCTCTCTCTCATCGATGTACCGACTACTTCGGCTTGTGCGCCCACCAGCACTGTACCCTCTCTTACTACAGCAACGTCAACGGCCTATCTCAACACCACAAGTAAAACTTAGCTCTACTAACCCTCTTACGAATAATACTCTCGTACAGACGGGGATCGATCGGTATGTACAAATAAAAAGATAGCTTAGTCCACAAAAAAACGTAAAATCAAATTTGCCAAAAGTACCGAAAACTTTAGGCAACACACGAACATCCGAAAACAGATTTGCCAGACTTGGCGAGACCGAAGAAGACAAGGGCCAGGCGCCTCAAGTCATGAAAGCTGTCAAGCCACCGCCAATATATATTAGGAAACACAACAGTTTCGATCTGATCAATAAGCTTAAACAAGTAATCGGGCCTAACCATTTCTATATAAACACCCTAAAAAGAGGAAACATACTAGAAGCAAAACTCCAGGTTAACAACGAAGACAACTTCCGTTCTGTAACAAGATATCTCGACAATGAGCTTATAAATTACTACACTTACCAACTAAAAAGTAAGAAAGACCTACAAGTTGTACTTCAAGGTATAGAATCGACTGTTGCGGTAGCAGAAATAGCTGAAGGCCTCACGGAAAAAGGCTTCGACGTTAATCACATCGTGAACATAGTAAACAGGGATTAAATTCCTCAACCACTGTTTAAGATTGAGCTGGCCCCAGAGACGAAACCTCTAAAGAAAAATGCAGTGCATCCTATTTACAATCTGCAATATCTCCTTCACCGAAGAATCACCGTAGAGGAACAGCATAAACGGAACGGCCCCGTACAGTGTACAAACTGCCAGGAGTTCGGGCATACAAGAAGCTACTGCACCCTGCGACCAGTTTGTGTCGCCTGTGGAAATTTGCATTGCATTGAAGCATGCCTGGGAAACAAAGAAGACCCTACTCTGAGGAAATGCAGCAACTGTGGGGGAAATCATAGTGCCAACTACCGGGGCTGTCCCGTCTACAAAGAACTCAAGAGCCGCCTAAATCAGAGACGCAGTAATCCATTCGCCGCTCAACACTCTGCCCAACCAAACATCTTCACCCCATCAACAACCACTCCTGGTGTCTCCTTTGCCAACGCACTCCGCTACCCTGGAATCTCACAAACATCTACCGCCCAGCCTGCAGCATTGCGTCCACAGCCACCCATACCAAACCTAAATGATTTTCCGCTCTTAAGCGGAACAAACAACAACTCAACCTTCTACGCAGCAAAACCAAACTCTTCCCCCACAAACACTTAGCGGTCTAGAATCTACACTAGCTACTCTTGCAAACGTCATGATGACGATTCAAAGTTCCCTTCAAGAACTACTGCGAAACCAGAGCCTTCTAATGGAACTGCTGATCAAACAAAAGTCTGTATAAATGGACTCCTTAAGAATATGCTTCTGGAACGCAAACGGCGTTTCCCGGCATAAAACGAACTCCTACAGTTCCTAAACATCCACAATATCGATATCATGCTACTTTCTGAAACCCATCTAACTAATAAAAACTACTTCCATATCATCGGATATATATTCCACACGACTAACCACCCGGACGGTAAAGCTCACGGAGGTACCGGTATACTCATAAAACAACGCATAAAACATCATCGCTTGGAGACATTCGCTACTAACTACCTGCTGGCCACATCCCTATGTATAAACCTAATTGGCGGCCCACTTACCCTATCCGCCATATATTGCCCCCCACGCTTCAGTATTGCAGAAAATGAGTTTATGAACGCTGCTTTATAGCTGCCGGTGATTATAACGCAAAGCATCCCCACTGGGGATCTCGTCTTATCAACCCCAAAGGCCGCCAATTATACAACGCTATCTTCACTCCTGGTAATAAGCTTGACTTTGTCTCACCAGCTAGGCCTACATACTGGCCCACAGATCCAAATAAACAACCTGACACCATCGATTTCGCTGTTATTAGAAGAGTCTCGCACAGGCTGATAAACGTAAAAACCTTAGAAGAGCTTACATCGGACCATTCGCCAGTTCTCTTCTGTCTATCTGAACAGCCGCAGCTTCTGGAACGCCCCCAACATCTAACATCAAACAAAACAAACTGGCTGAAGTACAAAAAATATGTAAGTGCACACATCGAACTTGATCCTGAAATTTCCTCTGAATCTGACATTGATAAGTCGCTTAAAGACCTCACGGACGTAATGTCCTCTGCCGCCAAACATTCTACGCCAGAACCCTCAGCCACATACCCGCTAAGAACTGGACGCTCAAGTATCCAGATCGAATCTGTCCTACTTGAAAAACGTAAACTTCGCAGAGACTGGCAGACTCATCGGTCCCCAGCTACTAAGAAAAGACTTAATGAAGCATCTCGAAAATTGTCTACCGATTAGAACCAGGCCCAACGGACCTACATTGCGAAACTATTCCCGACGGGTAATAAATTCCCACTATGGAGAGCTCACCCAAACATGCAACCACCAATAGATCCCGATTGGCCAATTCGATCACAAACAGGTGCCTGGGCAGGGTTGCCCATCACTTGGAAAACGTCGCCGTCCTCCCCAGTTACCCTTGAAACCAGCACAATACTTTAGGCTATTAAAGAACACATAAACCCAAAAAAAGCTCCTGGTCACGATTTTATTTCTCCAAAAATGATAATTGAATTACCTGCATGCGCAGTCAGATGCATCGCATTTATATTTAACTCAATATTGAAATGGGGCTACTTTCCTGACCAATGGAAAAAGTCTGTCATTACAATGATCCCGAAGCCAGGAAAAGACAAATCCCAGCCTTCCTCGTACCGGCCCATCAGTCTGCTCCCATGTCTATCAAAGCTATTGAAAATACTGCTTCTTGTTCATCTAGTAACACATATTCAAAACAACAGAACGGTCCCTCTGCACCAATTCGGACTTAGGGAAAAGCATGGAACTATCGAACAGGTAAACCGCTTAACATCTGAAATTCGCACGGCTTTCCAACACAAGCAATATTGCAGTGCCTTATTTCTGGACGTATCACAAGCATTTGATTGCGTCTGGATCGACGGTCTGGTATACAAAATCAAAACCCTCCTACCGGAAAACACTCACATGTTGCTTGAGTCATACGTCAAAAACAGAGTTTTCACCGTGAGATGTAAAACCTTTACTTCAACCATCCGTAACATCGAAGCTGGAGTACCCCAAGGAAGTGTGCTTGGACCAATCTTGTACATCGTTACACGGCAGACATTCCAACAAGCCACCAGACCCTCATCTCAACCTTTGCTGATGACACTGCCATTGTCAGCCGCTCGAAATGCCCAAAAACAGCTACAGCCCATTTAAAAGAACACCTGGTAGCTGTAGAAAAATGGCTCGCAGACTGGTGTATCAAAGTCAACGAGCAAAAGTGTAAGCACATTACATTTACACTAAACTTGTCGAAATGCCCACCACTGGACCTACGGTTCCGAGCTCTGGGGAAACGCAAGCAGCAGCAATATAGAAATTATTCAAAGAGTACAATCAAAGACCCTACGAACAATAACTGGAGCCCCCCGCAAACATCCAGAGAGACCTGGATATAAATCCAGTAAAAGAAGAAATTGTTTCCAGAAAAATTAAATATGCTTGCCAGACAACTCAACCGGCTACGCCGGTCTACAGCGGAATGATTTCCCATCCCTCTTCAATAACATAAATTAACGTAACATAGATTAATATTTGAGAACTTATTGTTAGTCTCTAAAGTAATAGAGAAGATCCAATAAATAAGAATAAAGTAGAGTCGTCGTGTTGTTCTTCACGCGGATGATACTCCTTTAGATCGCCTAAGCCAGCTGTACGCCTCTTCCGGCCGGCTGTAGCCGCACGACATTCGATGATCGAAATTTCACCACCTTAAACGGACCTGCGTACTTCGGTGAAAGTTTTGCGTTAAAGCCCTCGCTGGCCTTGGACAGATGGTGAAGACGGACCAGCACCTGTGAGCCTAGTTGGGGGCGCCACTCGCGTCGTCTCAGGTTGTAGTGTCGACTTTTTCCTGAGAAGCTATCTGGTTGGTTTCCAGGGCGGTGCGGAACGCTTCTTGAAGCCTTTTGGCTCACTCCGTCGGGTCCAATGGCGAGGCATGTAAG